TTAATTAATAACTAACTCTGGCTAATTCCTAATATGCCAGAGTCTAAATCGGAGTAGGCAAGTAGACCAAGGTTATTCTTTGGATTATCTTCCATATCAATTTGATCGTCATATTCTTCCTCATCCTCTCCATCCTGATCATAGTCATAGCCCTCACCTTCCTCATCCTCATCATCTCCACCTTCCTCACCGTTCTCATGCTCTACCTCAGCATCGAATGAGGCCGACTCTGTGCCAGATCCATAAACTTTGGACAGGCCTGCCAGACTGGAGCCCCGGAACAACTTTTGACGAGAGGATCGGCAAATCCTACCATCATCTCCGCGAAGATTAAAGTTGTAAGCTTCTCGGGTTCGTTCTGAAAGGCGCCAGAGTTTGATAGTCTTGTCTGTAAAGTATATGTAGAGATAAAGATAAATAATAGGGCACAACAATAGACGAGAAGGAGCATGAAATGTTCGCTATTAGTAGTTAGTATAAGAAATAAAAGCGAAGGCGAAACAGAGCTAAGTTGTTACTAATTATGTTCATTTTATAATTCTGGACTCCGATCCAAGACTTCGAGTTTACATTTAGGTACATATATATATTCATTTATTTATATCTATATAAATTATGGTAAAAAACTACCTTAGGTTAGGCGATTAAAGATATTAAGATAAATAATTGCAAAAGGGTCGTATAAAATACTGTTTCATGTGGACAAAGAGAAGCACAATAATATAGTGTGCTGCTTGAAAAATAAGTAGACAGAATGCACAAATAACATGTGGACTAAAGATACAAAATTAGACACTCACATAGCTATGTGAGCAAATACGAAAGCAATCAGACTGATAAACAACATACATCCAGACGATGGTAAAGCCCAGTTATCAGTTTACTGGTTGATGAATGTGTAACCGACGTATTCTAACAAGTGAATGAAAAACTGGTTTTTATATTTATTTGACTACTTCTCGAGGATGCATAACATAGCAAAAATGAAAAAAAGACCGAGGTAAGGTTATCTCACGAAATAAGTTGTGGTTATAACGAAAGATGGCGGACTAAAACAAAAGTTTCTAGAAGTATAGGTAGGTAAATAATAATTTCTCTAATTTGCCCAAATCATCCGTTTGTCTCGAATAT